TATTGTTTCATCAACTTTCATAAAGTCATATCCGGAGCAGGTAATAATAATATAGCTGTAAACAGTTTAACTTGAATTTAAATCCAATAATGACATTGTAGTGCGTGTCAGTCACTTACAAAACCTGCTATCACTTTTTTCTGTTCCAAATAGTACGTGTGGTGCCTTTCTGAAATCTGTATTCAATGAGCAATCTTTTTATTCAATATAATGCGGTTAGAGCCCAGTACATTTTTGTTTCACCACAGATGGTCAAAGTTAAGGAAAAAGTATCAGGATGTTGTAAAAATAGTCCTTATTTGATCATGGTTTCTTAATATCTCTTAACTACATTGCATTTGTATATGATAAAGCAACTATCTAGAAGTATTTTGTAGAAAAAATGGACAAATTATAACCTTATTTATTAGAGTATTTCCAGGAAAAGAACGAAAACAGCGGTCCCTGGTACCCACTTCATGCGTACTGTAGTTAGTTTAGCAAAGTAAGATCCGTCCATGGTACGGAGACTCGATCTATTCACTTATTTCATATGGCGTTGTTGACGCAACAGTCAGGAACGGTGACTACAGCTATATTTTACGGGGTATCAAAAAACAATTTGTATGTGACCTTAAACATGAAGTAGAGGTCATTTGGACGTCAAACTTAAAAGTTCAAGAGTAACCGCCATTTTTCACAGTGTACCTATTAGTGTAGAGCTTGATACGTTGCACCATTGCGCATTTTGATACTTGATGTCAAGTGGTTATAAGTGGCCTACACAATATCACCATCAGAAAAGTACACAAATACACCAACAACTTGGCAAACACGCTTTTAAACAACCATGTAAAAATCATCCAGACTGCAGTAACTGAAAAGAATGAATATTTGGTTCACCTATTAAGAAGCATCTGAGGACACTTCAAATGTCAAAATCAATTAAGCGCGCGAAATAGAAATTTCTACATTGAAGTTCGCATTTAAATTCTGATATTTTGACTTTATGAAATTTTAGCATATCCTGTGTTACTTGCTCTGTCAAGATAAATCTACGACAAAAGCCACCAAGCGTTTAAGATGTAGTCCGTGAAATAGGAATTTAGGCGTGAAAAATTTTGAGTCAGTCGTTAAAAAGAGGTCCCAACGGAATTTCAAGGTCATAAAAAAAGCAATTTGCCTGCTACCTCAAATTTGATCTTATAGATCATTTGGAGGTCAAGTTTGAAAATCTAAACTGCAACTACAGTCTTCGACAGCAGAACTGTGAAGAGCTTGAGGTTCAGTAAAAGTTAGTTCAGTAGGTGAAACACGTTACTTTGTATTTTTGGGATTGTCAGCTGGTTTATATAGGTTAAACTAAACGAAATCTAAAATATAGAAGTTCATCTCATAAATAATATTAATAATAATAAATATTATCATTATAATAATAAATTGTTTCTTATTAAAAACATATTACAGATAATGCATGTAATAAATGACGAAGTTTGGCTATGGCAGCTATTCTTACACTCAACCATTTACTGCATAAAGGTATTAGGTGGTAGAAAGCTACAACCGTAAATAGACTAAAAGGAGGAAAATGTTTAGTAAAACTATATTTATTATATATTATGTTCTATATTCTTGTACAACATGGATGCATTATATGAGAAGAGCCGGTTAAAAGCGAGGAACTATGAATCAGTTATAAGAACACCTAATAAGAGATATGAGATTTTCTTAACAAGGCCCTAAGCAGTTTTTATGTTGCCTCAATATTTACGACTGCTCCTCGTATAAATAACAATAAATAAAACATAGTATTGTGTGTTTTTAACCTATTTTGACTCTGTCTCTTGTTTTGATCCAGCTTGAATTACTAACTTCATGGAAATTAGTGATATTTTGTCCCTTAAAGTTTTTATATTTGTACATGTATTCTCCGTGTTTGTTTATACTACTATTTTCAACATATTGTAACACCCTCGTATAGCGAGATACCAACTTGCAGAGTCGACGCTTAGGCAACCAATTATGCGGCCGTGTGTGAGCGCTTGCAGCGCTGTCTAAAGGGAGAGAATTTAATTGAGGATTCGAGGAACCTGCTGCCATCTAGACTTCTTCCATGAAACTTCACGACTCTAATTAGAAAACGATAGAATATGCCTGGACCTGTTGATATTGGAGTAAATACCACACCATATAGCGGAAGCAGTTAGTCGCAGTCCAGCACAGTCAAGCAGAGAACGTAGAACTGATATGGGATAATATTCCAGTCGACATAGTCATAGATTTGTTATAAATTGGTTGCCAGTGTTATAAATTAGAAACGGTGTTTGCAATATAATATTTCAGTCCATTTCTTTTATTTTGTTTTTTCATAGAAGAAGACATCACAGAAGTATCGAAACGTCGGCTTGAGCATAATGGCCCAAAATCCGAAGACTAAGACAAGTAACGAAGTTCTAAATCAAACTGCATCTCCATGCATGAGATAAAGTTGTCGTTACTTTATGCGTTCAAAACAATACCAGTTGTATTTTGATTGCTGTTGCTCGGTTTGATAGCTAAAAGCATATACTCGTACTATCACTGTTTAAATAGATACTGTGCTGAAGAACCAATGTTGAGGTTCCCGTGGCCATGTTTTAATTGGGATCTTGGACGTTTCTGTACTACGACTTGAGCCAAATTACTACAAATATTCGAAAACAATGAGGATTTTGAGGGTTTCAAACAACCCACACACAATATTTAGTCAATACATTTTTCAGTGTATAAAAGGACGGCTCAGAAATCGGCGAAACTCAAAAATTTCCTTCATTTGATTTTGTATGTCCATTAGTCGATCTGAGCCGGGAGACGCTAAATTCCATATCATACACTGTAGTAGCTCTCTAAGGACGAAAACACGGCGGAAGTCGGTTTCCTGCTTGCCGGCAACCAGCGCCGATCGGCGCATATAAGCTTCTATGATAATATCATGCTCTTGAGTTGGCAATAACACAATATAGAGGCAGGCTCAGGCTTGTCGGCGCAGACAGATGGCGTTACCGGTTACCGATAATGGATAGAGACAAGTTAGTTAAGACTGTGGAGTTTACACGAATTTTTAGTTAGAAAAACCGTTTCCAGAATACACATATAATTGATTCATTCTGGAGTACTGAAAAAGCGGCCATCTTCCAACGCCTTGAACAAATGATGATATTCACCATAATGTACCCTCTCACGATTAATGGGTTGAATACCAACTTTCTTTCTAGTGATTATTCTAGTTACAGAGCTTCATCTTTAGATGAGCTAGACCCCATATTGACGAGAAGACTATGCTGGAATTGACAAGACGCCGGTTTTATTTGCTTTTTTCTCGTCAGCACTGTGTCCATGACCAGCACCGAAATTCGGTACAGATCGGCGCTGGTTGCCAGCAAACAGGAAACCAGCTTCCACTGTGTTTTCGACCTTATGCAATTCTTTCGTGTGCAAAAAACGATAGGCTTAAATGTCCCTAGATTTTGTGGTATTCCGCTGCAAACCTGATGAAAGTGTACGTAGTGAAATGCATAATAATTGATTAAAGTATGTACCAGCCATGATGGCATTTCCTTATATGAAAATTGCAATTACATATAGGAGTAACCTGAAAATAATCCTGCGGTTGAAAAATCCAGTTCCGGACTTTTTAAGGTGTCATCAAAAATATTCAAACTAAACATTTTACTATGCAGAAAAAAGCTAAACCTTTTTATCTATTCAAATATTTTATCACTATGAATTTATGCGATTCAGAAGTCAAAATGTGAAACGTTACCAGCTTGATTTGGTGAAAATCTTCCAAACAGTGCTTAGCATTGGAACGAGAGTGATTTGGAGACCTTAAACCCCAGGACCAGGTTACGCTTTTTTTATTTCTTTGTCTTTTATTAAGTGCAACACCCTGTAACTTTTACTCAAAATTTAGTGTTATTTGACAGAAAACGAACGACAGATAATATGCATAGAAAGTAAAACGATGTTATGCATCCTATCTACTCTTTTGGGTAGTTCTCCTAATGTCCTAATTTTACCAACTGATGCTGTACAACAACATTATTCATGATAAAAATTAAGAAAAATCTAATAATATCAACCCCCCAAAACCTCGCATTAGATTAGGAAATGTCGAGTTCGGACGTGGTTACGAGGTTTTTGTAGATTTTCAGCTAGAATTAAGTAGGTAATTACAAAGAAAATCAACAAAAGTAAACAGGGTGCTCAACATTAATTTATATCACTCTCTTATACAATAAGGTGCAAAGAAATAGAAGAAGCTGAATCCGGCCCTGAATTTTGAGTTTCTGAATCACTTCTAGTTCAACTCTAAGCATTATCATGTAAGACTGCTATATGCATCAATCTACTTTGCTAATTAATTAGCACCATTCATTGGTTTCTTTTTGTACATGGCCAAACATTCCAATATTCAGCTTCAAACGTCATGATCATGATAACACAGAATATTGAGTCCAACGCTTGATTATTCAACCATCCGGCTAGTTTTAGGTTCCTCTTAGGTAATTTTCTTATCGTGCAAAATTTCCTTAACATCGGTTGAATAATGGCTGTGATACGCGATTTTTTTTTATATCGAAGCAGCCGCGCAGGCAGAAGCCTAAATGTCGGAACACCGCCGCTGCTATGATGATCCCAAAGAAACTTTATTAATACGATTTTTGAACTGCCCAAGGTTAATAGAACTGGGAAAAGGTTCTTCTTGTAGATTGTTCCACAATCTCGACACGCTCGGGACAAAGGAGCGGTCGTATCGGCCGGTTCTGGATGTACGAAGTTCGACACGGTTAGGATGGGACGCCAAAGTTAGGCGGGGGGCGATATTTAAGATAGCGGGTTTGGGTAAATTATAAAATAAATTAATATTATTATTCTTTTTATTGTCATATACGCAAAGGCCTACCTACCGTTTCAGTCACGATACACGATACACCCTGTATAGATCATATATTGCACCTGTTGACATTTTTCAGCATACGCCACTGTCCACCGACGCCGCTCGACGCCGGCGCCGTTACGCACACGTGTCCTTCGATCGCCGTGAAAGTCAGCTGGTGCAGCGTCCACAAAAATAATAGCAATTGTCTTTCATTAAGCAACTAAGTCTGAAAACTATTCGCAATAGTGTGCGTCTGGTAAGCATTTTTAACTGTGCTGATGTTTGACATGTGATTTGTATTGTGCTAACCGAAGACTTCTATTTTTGCAGTTAGGTAATGGTGTGCTGGGTTCAGGTAAATTTAGGTTAGTGCAGTTGGTTGAACTTTGGCGCGATGTCAATTTTATTTTCAAAAATCTACTATATGTTGAGGTAGATTATGCATGGGCTATTACAGCGTTGTATCGCTGAAAATGATACCCTACGTATTTTATTGCAATATGTAATCTCATGTATGACGATGTTTTGTTAGCTTGATTGAAAATAAAACTGTGAAGTGATAGTTATCAAAGACGGTCAATAATGCATTGTAGTGTAATTGTAGAAGCAAGGATGAAACGTTACTCATCATCATAATCATAATGTTGAATAGTGCCAAGTGAAGGCCAGCTCACGGGCAAATAATAAAAAGGTTCCTGTATTCCTTTGGTTAAGAATGCTATAAACTTAAGTATATAGGGTGTTCGGAAGATCGGTATAAACCTTTTAAAGGGAAGCATTAAGTTACAAATACCTTAGTACAAAGTTTTGAGTTACGTGGAATTTTGTGTAACCTTAGAAGAAGCAACATCATGATTATGTATAAGAAACCGCCGTTTGTGCAAGGACATAACCTTAGTTCTGTAATTTGTCTAGTCTGTCTTGATACATTGTCTTCCTAAACAAATGGTCTCTAAGTTATCGAGAGATGACGTACACGTTGAAAAAGATAATTATTTACTGATGACTCGGCAGTGCATCTTAACTTTTTAGATGAGCTTATGACAACAGTGTAAATTTGAATGACTAGAAGAACGTCCTTCACTTCTACTCTTCTTTATGGTATACGAAGGGATACAACCATTATGTTTTTCTCAATATCGCATAGTATTGAAACAAGCAGAATCTCATGAAGTTACGTAGAACCAATCACCATTATTCAATCATTAAAAGTAATCCGCTGATTATTAGGCATTTCTCCGCCATTGTTTCATATCCTTGCTGTAGCAGTCAGTTTAAGTTATCCATTTCAACGATACTTTAAAGCTTATTTGAGATCTCCATTGAAATACATACCAACTGCCCAAATTCAATAATAATATGGAAAGAACATGCAATTCAATACACGAAAATCCAATTGACACCTAGCAGACGTACAATACAATACACTATCAACTTATTCTTTATAACGTGTACGCCACGTTTCCATAACTTTACTACATAAAGGAAGACAATTTGTCAGATAAATAAGACAAATAAAAACTAAGAGTTTTGCAGGATTATTGAATAAGAGTTTATTACGTGAGATTTCCCCTTCTCCAGGATTTTAGAAATGTACGCGTTACTCAAAAACGGTTCGAATCTGTACTATCCGTTTCGATCCTTTGGAATGTTTGTATAGACCTCCCGGACACTTGTACATCAACATTCTTCACGTGGGCCATTTTGTCTTCAAATTTCCATACCTCGCGAAGAAGTATCACTTATATTTATGAAGATATCCGAATTAAGCTTAATGACACTATGCATCACTCTCTCTAGGTATCCGAATGATATAATAGTCGAAAAATGGACAGTTTTCTGCGAGTCAATCAACAAACCCTACCAGCATCTCCAACCAACTCTTTAATACCTGATGATGTAGCTTCGATATGTCCTCTGATTACCCCTTCTCCACCGACAAATGCTTTGGTCAATCCTGAGCCAGAGCCTAACGAGCCGAGCTTTACGATTGGAGAAGAATTAGCTGCTAAGCTCAAAGAAGTCCGAGGTAAAGATATTCATTCTGACACATTTAGGTGAAGATATGTGTATGACACACCAAAAAGCATATTAATGTGATTGATTACTGCTTGTAGCAAATATACAAAGTGTCTACAAGTAGCGGTATCTATAGCCTTCAAGTCTTTATATGCATACATATACATATGCAGGGTGTTACTCAATGATGAGCCGTAATGAACCAAATTTAAGTAGCAAAGTACATATAAGCATGCGTCCTAAGAGGCTTGACTTCCAAGATACTGTGCCTAAGGTTTCAAACAATATTAGTCTTTGGTCTTTCAATAGCTCAAAGACCCTTACGCCGTTTGAGTTGAATTTTGGCATTACTATTCACTGCATTGAGTCGTAAAGTTGGCAGTAGAAGTTAATTATCACTTGCAGTGGCGTCTCGGTGGGCAGTGTCACGAACGGTATTGACAAAAAAATATACACCGCTGAGTTTTTTGAAAAATATATACAGAATATAAGCAAAGATAAATAATTCACTACTTGTCGGAAGATTCTTAAAATAAGATGAAAGCAATTTTGATCGTTGTCAAGAAAAGTTGTTGTGGCATTATGAACATGTTTTTGAGTTTTGGGTGACTGTTTGCTATTATGTTTTCTGTATCAAAAGTTATACTCTTTTTAAACTTTGATACACTCGCAAACCAGGTTTTTCAAGACACATGTTTATATAAACTTTTCTACCTAAAGGTGGTTTAGGACTATGACTTCGTGACTAAGGCCTTTCATTAAGCAAGACCCTCTTGCCTAAGTTAGTTCAACATCGCCTCTTGTGATGTGCAGCATTCCATCTATCTTTCTGAATTATTTAGTTTTGCCATTTTCGCTTTTCTCTCATCTCTTATGTCAAATAATATAGATTGGAAAAATAGTTGAAAATGCATCGTATGCTGAGTCTCAACAGGGACGAATTAGAGTTTATTGTGAAATAACGTTAGGTGACTGCTTTCTTAATAATTGTGCAAGAGTTCAAAGTACCATGCTAAGCACAGAGGTAGTTAATCTTGCAATTTCTCTACTCATTGGCAAAGTCTTTGGGCCAAAAAGTCATTCATTTGTGTTTGTCCTGTCTGTACAAATGTCATGTTTTACTAAAGTATAAGAGTTATAAAAGTCAATGTTTTTCTGTATACTTCAACCACCACGAAGGCATAGTCGCTAAACAGCCGTGGGAACCGTGGGGATACAGGGGAAAGGGGGCACGCTACACGGACTCTAGCGAGCAATCACGTGTGCATGTGACATGCACACATTCTGACCCCGCCTTAGAGATCCGCAGGGTGGTACTTCCACATTCGATAGCTCGAAACCGTCTACCATCTATAGACAATCACAACAGCCCTCGCCAAGAGAAAAATTCTTTTGGGACGGGAAATGAACCCACGCAGCTCACGGCCACCGCGCTGAAACACAAGATATTGGAATGATTTGTTAAATGTGCTTAATAAAATGTCTCTCTTATATTTTACTATTACCGTTAATAGTACATTTAACATTGAAGTTGTAACATCAATGCTGCTGTAGATTCGACGTTTGTTTTCGCGTAGCATTGTGTACACATAGAACTTTTATGGCTTTTATGACGTGTACATTTTTTGCTTTAGTATGCCACCTAACAATATTTATCCCCAAAAGCAAGATATACCACTCAAACGGTTTGTTAAGTTCTACATACCGCTATTTATCTTAGCATTTTACGATTGGTCATTGTTTTTAATTGACCATATCTGCTTAACTAAGCTGACGACATGATATTTTCTCGAAATTCAACTTTCCTTATGTAAAGAAAATTGTAAGTACAAATTCTGAAACTCTTATATAACCGTTTCTGGTCAATTGGTAAAAGAAATCCAAACTTCGGACGCCTTTTTCTCCGGTTCAGGATTACTGCTCTATGCTTAGCACGCCATTATGAACTTCAGCACTAAATTATCAGTATACTTACAACACTTTGTTGATATTCTAGATCACGATAAAGCAGATTCTGCCTCTTCCAGTTCATCAGCATTGGCCGAGCCAGCATGCACGCAGTTGCTGAATCACAGGAACAACTACCACCATATTACAAAAACAGAAGAAACAGAATTACAGGTAACAATATTTAGGTATTGAAATGTGTGGTCAGTGTGAGAATATGAATGGAACACTCAACCCAAAATTCAATCAAAACTGCCTTTTTGTCACTTGTGGTATTTTGACCTCTCACGCCTAAAGCTCTTCCGTTGCTAGATGTTCCACTGCAACAGTGGCGGCTCGTGAGGTAGTGCCACGGTGCCATGCCACTACCTTGTCTTCTTCAAAAAGAATATTTTTTTCAATCTTCAATGTTTTACTTTATTTTCTGCTTTTTCATTTTTTTTGGTATAAATTATATGAAGTGACAACACTGACAACGTGACAACACCGCAAGCACCCGCCCGCACCCGACCGACGCGACGAGACGGAAAGCATGCCTTGACCTTGACGTCATCAACTTGTGCCAATTTTGGGCCGGCCCAAATAAAAAGAGAGAAATTTTACCAGCATCGCATACGAGCGACAGAGATAACGCTACGCTAGACATTTTTATATGAGGTGAATAGCGAAAGACAAGTCTGATTTGTGCCAGGCACATCATCAGTCGTAATTCGTTATCAAATGATATCGGCGGTGTTTTTGTTCGGTCGGTCGTTTCGTTATGATTACGTCTAGTGCTGATTTCGGTCTTTTTTTACCTGAAAAGTGAGAAATAACGTTTTTGTTTTAGTACGTCTAGTGATAATGAACTGCTCTGTTTTGTGATCATATTTTTTACTGTTTTATTAAAACTAGTGAAAATGAATAAAATCGGGATATTAAAAAACTCATTTAGTGGTTTTTCGCTGGATGAAAAACTGCAAATTAAAGAATTAGGACGGCCAATACCCGATTTAAAAATTGAGAAACAAAGTGGTAGCGGACAAAAATCGCGCTGTCGCAAATTTAATAAAAATGTGTACGATAAAAACAGCTGGATATGTGGTTGTGAAGAAACGAATAAACTATTTTGTTTTGTATGTGTTCTATTTGGAGGTGACGAGACTTGGTCAAAAAAAGGTACAGACGATCTTATAAATATATGGGATAAAATGAAGACCCACGAAAAATCTAAAGTCCATATGAATAATGTTTTTAGCTTTTCTATTCTTGGTAAATTAAATATAAGGACTCAACTCAATTCGGCTTATCGCAATGATCTAATTAAACATAATAATCAAGTGGATAAGAATCGATATGTATTGAATAAAATTATTAATTGTATAAGGTTTTGTGGAGCATTTGAGTTAGCCTTAAGGGGTCATGATGACAAGGAAAATTCGGAAAACAGAGGCATATTTAAGGAGCTGGTGAATTTTAGCACCGAATTAGACAACGAATTGAAAGTCCACATTCAAAGTGCCAAACTTTTTAAGGGTACCTCAAAAACAACTCAAAACGAGCTTCTTGAGTGCGTGCTAGATGTTTATCATGAAGAAGTTAAGAAGGAGATTGCAAATTCTCCTTTTGTTGCAGTAATTGCCGATGAAACGACGGACGTAGTCTGTGAATTTCAGTTAGTTATTATTTTCAGATATTTGTGTAAAGGAGAGAGATTTTGGAGATTTTACGTCCCGACGGACACGATGCCAAATCAATCGCTGCATGCGTTTTAAATGTTGTAAATCCATTACTAGATCAAAATCCAAACAAATTAATAGCTCAAAGCTATGATGGTGCGTCTGTTATGAGTGGTGAATTGAATGGCGTTCAAAAAATTATTAAGGAAACTTATCCACTTGCAAATTATGTTCATTGCTATGCACACCAGTTAAATCTAATTATGACAAGCGCATGCTCTGTCAATAAGCAGGCTAGAATATTTTTCCATAATTTATCTGGATTGTGCCCTTTTTTTTCGACGTCTCCTCAAAGAACAAAAATTTTGGATGAAATAGTTAATCGCAGATTGCCAAGATCTTCCCAAACACGTTGGAATTTTCAGTCACGAGGTGTTCATACAGTTTATGAAAATAGGAAAGACCTGATTGAAGTTATGGACAATATAGGAAGTACTTCACGCGATTCTTCGTCGATTAATCAAGCCAGTGGGTACAAATTAAAGCTGCAAGATACAAATTTTGTATTTTGGCTAAGTATTTTCCATAAAATAATGTCACATGTTGAAATTGTCTTTAACCAATTACAAAAAGTATGCACCGATTCTGTTAAGGTCAAAAATGATTTAGAGAATTTTGAAGCAGCAATTCAAACTATACGAGAACAAATGGATAGCATTATTGACGAGATTGAACGAGTGCAGAGAGAAACTGATGAACCGGCAAGAAAAAAAAGGCAAGTTGAAGAAGGCAGCAAAAAACGGGAAGCGTTAGAAATATGCGATGCAGTATTATCGCAAATAAGAACAAGATTTAACTTTTCTGGGCATTTAGTTGCTTCTAATTTATTTGTGTCTGAAAAGTTTTCTGTTTATAAACATCAGTTTCCTGAAGCACATTTAAATGACACATGCACACAATTTTCATTTTTAGACAAAAACAGGCTTAAAACTGAGTTACAAGTATTATATCAGAGAGAAGAATTGAGTACTACTTCTGGAGCTGTTCCACTATCCATTTTATTGAACGATGAAGGATTAAATTGTACGTTTCAAGAAACTCTTAAGCTCTTAAGTATTTTAATCACTATACCGATGTCAACATCTGAAGCAGAACGCTCTTTTTCAATGCTGAAACGGATTAGATAGATAGATAGATAGATGCTTTATTGTCTTCGGATCATAAAAATGATATAAGACTCGTCAGGCATATCTCTATGAGTACATTATTATCTACAAAAATTAAAAATATAGTTAAGTATAAATACATAAATTTGTCGGTTAAAAATCGAAAAAAAACACAGTTTAGTCGAGAAAACAACAGATACAATAATAATAAACAGATTAAGGTGTAAAAGAAGTAAGTACAATAAAAAATAGAAAAAAAAAATAATAGGTACGCATATACGAGTAAATATATACACACATATATACACATACATAATACATATATACACATATATACACATACATATAGACACACATACATATACATATATACACATATATATATATATATATATATATATATATATATATATATATATATATATACAGCCATAGTTGCCTATTTAATTTTTTGGTGCATCACTCTTACCCTGAAAGAAACTCGGTTACTGAGTAGTAGCATCTTTCTATTAACAGACTCCTCAGCTCTTTCTTGAACCTATTTGAGCATCTAATATCTTTTAGTATTGAGGGCAACTTATTGAATACCTTGGTGCAGGCGTAGGCTGGTGATTTTTCGAACATTGACAGTGTATGCGAAGGTATACTCAAGTCCTGTTTCGCTCTAGTGTTGTACTTCGTGTTTAAGTCCTTGTTCTGCAGAAACTGGCCCCTGTGATTGAAGGTGTAGAGGGCGCATTTATAAATATATATACTCGGAAGCGTTAGCAAGTTATTATGCTGAAATATTGCTCTACATGATTCTCTCCTTTTAATGTTAAATATCAGCCTTACAATACGTTTCTGCAAAATAAACACTCTGGACGCGGTGCATGCTTGTCCCCAGACGATGGTGTGATTTGACAGATGCGAATACACCATTGCGTAGTACACATCTATCAGGGTTGATTTGGGGACATTTGGCTTTAATTTCAATATCGCATAGTAGGACCTATTGATTTTCCTGCATACACTGTCAACTTGTTGCTTCCAATTTAATCCTGCATCCAACTCAATACCCAGGAAGGTCGTAGAGTCTGAGATAGTTCTGTTAATGAGACGTGGAGTACTAGAGTAAAAGTGAACAACTACCGTCTTGTCAGCATTCAAGATCAGACGATTTGTTTGGCACCACACTTCCATCTCAGATTTTATGATTCCAATGTTAAGGTACAGATCTTCAGGCGAATCTGCAGTTACTACAGCCGATGTGCCATCAGCATAGTTCACTACTGCACCTGAGAGCTTCAGATCGTTTATAAATAAGATGAAAAGAAGTGGTGACAATACAGATCCCTGAGCTGCACCTATATTTATTTTATAGGTAGCTGACTGCGCATCGTTCACTCTCACTCTAAGTTCTCTGTCTGTCAGGAAAGACACTAGCCAGTCCAGCAAGAAGTCTCTAATACCTATATTGGAAAGTTTCTCCCTTAGCAAATCTACATTAATGATATCAAACGCTTTGGACAAGTCGAAAAATACTCCAGCAACTAGATGACCCAAGTCTATTGCTCGGTAAATGTGGTTCATAAACTCAAAAGAGGCTGTCTCAATCGAGCGTGATTTCCTGAACCCATGTTGGTTATTGGAGATGATGTTGTATTTTTCAGTATAGCTGGCTATGCGCGCGTGCAGTACTTTCTCAAATATCTTTGAAAAAACTGACAGTAGAGATATTGGACGATAGTTTTCGACTTGAGAGGGATCTCCCTTTTTCAATATAGGTACCACAATGGCCAATTTAAGATTTTTAGGAAATTTACCTTGATGCACCGACATGTTTATGAGTAGAGCTAGTGGACCTGCAATTTGATGACACACACTTTTAACTATTCTTGTTGACACACCATCACTTCCACACGACTTATTATTTCGAAGGTGGTTTATCACATTGGTCACTTCATCTTCGGTAGTTTCGCTGTAGAACATTGACTGAGCCAGTGAGGTTGTTGACAGACTTGTAGTTGTGGGCTGTCCTCCAAAGTGTACATGGAGCTTCTTCTCTGCTATTGTAGAAAAATACCTACCAAATGCGTCGGATGTACCTTCGCTTCGCAGATCTCCAACGGATTCTATATTTAAGATTATTTGATTGGTACAGCTGCTTCGTCCTAGTTCTTTGTTTACAATTTCCCATACCTTCTTCGGTTTATTTTCTGCATTTTCAATTAGATGTTCATGATATCGTTTTTTAGTAGTTGTCAGTAGTTTTCTGTGTTTACTTTTTCTTTGTAGGTAATGTTGTCTTAGTTCGGAGTTATCTTTGTTATTTTGCAGGAGGGTGTGTATTTCCCTCAAATTTTTACTG